AAGCCTCCTCAATCAATTTGTTGCCATCTTTGTACATGCTGAAGTGATCCAGAAGGTTCATTATCTCTGATATTCTCTCTGAATATTCTCAAGCTAAAAGTGCTATCTTTCAAGAATCTTTTCAAGAAGCCTCCTTACCCAACGCGTGTTCAAAGCCAAATTCTGAATAAAAGCCCAACTGCTCAAGATGATGTCATTTATTGGAGATTCATCAAGTTCATCTTGAAGTTGTGAAGAATTTGAAGATAAATGTTGAAGCCAAACTCCCAATAAAGATTAACAAGAAAAGCCAACCAACTTTTTAGGGGGATTTTGTTTGGTCAATTATAAAAGAAAACTATAAACCAAGGGGGGGATTGTTGGGTCTAAAATTAAGGTTTATACTTTGCTTTTCTAGGGAGTTGTATTTTTTTTCTAGGACTGTAAACATCCTTGGTGTTTGCAGTTAGATGTGTTCACGGCCAGGTTGTGTTTACGGCCATGAGCCCATTTTGGCCCATGTTCCTCAAGTGTGTGTGTGTGTGTGTGTGTGTGTGTGTGTGTATATATATATATATATGTATGTATGTTAGGTGGGTGAGGCGTGGTTGATGAACAATTGATGAGTTTACGCCCAAGAGAGAGAGAGAGAAAGGAGCATATGTGTGTAAGTGTGTGAATCTTGTGTAAGGGAACTTCATTCTAATCAATTCAAACAAGATTCATATTCTTCTTCTTCTTCTTCTCTTCTATTTTGATATGGCATCATCCGTTTGATTGGGATTCCGCACCGTCAAACTGATCTGATTGATACAAAAGCATATTTGGCACTTACAAAATGTGAGTTATGTCGTGAATGGTTGTGAAAATAACATGGCATATTATCTCAATGATGGTATATATCCCTCATGGGCTACTTTTGTCAAATCAGTAATTTCCCCTCAACTTCGAAAACACAAGTTGTTTGTTGAACATCAAGATGCCGCTAGAAAAGATGTTGAACGAGCATTTGCAGTTCTACAAGCTTGTTTTGCATTTCTTCGACATCCATGTCTTTTGTGGGACAAGGATATGATGAGAAAAATTATGATTGCATGTATTATCATTCATAATATGATTGTGGAGGATGAACGTTGTACATACCTTCAGTATTATGATCCATCCGAATTTCTAAATGACAGACCTACAAACCAGAAACGAGGAACCTATATTGAAGATGACGATCAAAATTTAGAGTATTCCACTCAACAAATTGCAAACCTATTTAGTTATATGATCAATAGGGCACAACTTCGCAATACAGAAGTTCATAACATTCTAAAAAACAATTTGATTGAGCATATATGGCAAAATTTTGGCATTGATGGATAATTATGTAATTTGCATCTTTCGTATCTGAAATCTTGTATTTCATGTTTTGATTGTAACTTCGTTTATCTATTTTATTAAGTCTGTTTTACAAATATAAAATACTTTTTAGTTTTATATTTAGAATAAATAATTTATTAACAGAACTAAATTGAATATTTTTTAATTTTTCTAGTAGAATAAAAAATAATCTTAATATTTATTATTTGTATAATAAAAAAATGGTTTTAGTTGGTTTGCTAATGGGTGTAAGAAAGTTGGGTTTAGTTGGGCTGAATATGTGGATGAGAAAGAAACTAATTAATTAATGGATAGTTGGGTTGGTTTTTATTGTGAATGAGAGTAGTCTTATGATCTAAAAATATTTTGATTCAATTATTTAATGATCATTAGTTATTATATTTTTTATGATTCAAATAATATAATAATCCAAATATTGTATTGAACAAAAAGTTTATTTAATTCAATATATTATGATCCAAATTAAAATGATCCAAAAGTGTATGATTCATAATATGGTTATTATTCAAAATACAACGATTTAAAATTTTATGATCCAAAAATAATATGATTCAAAAAACAATATTAAAGGCAACTATTTTAATCCTTAATATTCTTCTTATTTAAAATTTTATAATTGTTAAACATAAAACTCAAACCAATATTTAGTTTCAGAAATTAAAAAAAAATCAAAAAATAATAAAAAAAAATCCGTTTCTTTAGTTCGGTTTTGTGCTGATATAAAACCTTATAGTTTGTATGTTTGTTTAGGATAATGGTATCAACGAAGCACTCAAATAATAGAAGAACATATTTGAAAAAATATTAGTACCGAGGGATACTTTCTATGTCAAGTTTTTGAACGTGATTGAAGATGACACTTTGAAGTAGAAAGGGAGGTAAAGAATTCATGAACAATGCAGAGAGCAGCTAGGGTTTCTCAAATGCGAGAGAGAAAGGAAGGTAGAATCATCTTGTTTACATTTGAAATTTTAAAAGACCATATTGAGATTTGGAGCGTGGTTTTGGACGGAATAAACAATTCAATGGTGTAGCTTTTATTTAGGAAGAAACTAACAAAATAATGAATGGTTAGGATGTAGTCTTCTTGTTTTTAAGATAATACCTTAAAAGTTAGGAAGCTCACAAAGATAAATGCATTATAAAGTGTTAAGATATACTCTTACCGTCCCATATTAATAGTTCATGTTTCTTTTTTGATTTGTTCCAAAATATAGTCTATTTCTAAAAATAAATATGTTTTTTCCATAACACCCCTCATTATTAGTTAAATTACCATAAAATAAAATGTAATTATCATGGAATTAAATGCAACAAAATAGTAAGAGTATCATTTCATTTAATAAACTTAAATGTGATTAATGTTTTCTTAATCTGTATATTTTTTGTCCGTGAACAACTATTTTGGGACGAATGATGTGTGTGTGTGTGTGTATATATATATATATATATATATATATATATAGAGAGAGAGAGAGAGAGATAGGATCAAGTAAGAACCTAAAAAATCGTAGTAATCATGAGAACGATTTTTGGTCTTAAGATTGAAAAAATAAATGTCAGGATTTGATTTTATTTATCGTCAAAATTTCGCAAGACGATATTGTATTTTCATAATTAATTGTGAAATTTTGATAATTTCAAGGAATGTTAATTGTTTTGAATGTAAAAGTGATAAAAACAAAAAACAATATTAAAAGAAAAAATAAAAAATAAAATGAAAATTCGGCCATGTGACCTCTCCAGGAACATGACAAGTGTCTAGCTGTTATTGGCGGATGAGTTTTTTTTACATCCACTTAGTTTTTTGGTCTAACTATTTTTTTCTTTGAAAAAAAATATGTAAAAACCAAATTCTTAAATTTTAATTTTTACAAAATGAGCACATTCATGAAAACTTGAAAAAATATATTTTTTTATTTTTATATTTATAAATAAACACAAAAAAAATCTCCAAAAATTATAAATTTTTTAGGAATACTTCTACTCACTATTCTAATAACTTTGTGAATTTTTTTTAAAAATAAATGTGTATATTGAATATGATGTAAATAAAGACGATTCAAAAATATTATTATTTAATATGTTTATGATTCTTATCTTGTTATAATATAAAAATATTTTGATTTAAATATTTAATGATCTTTAATTATTATATATCTTTTATGATTCAAAAAATATAATGATCAAATATTTAAACATTAAAAATTCAAACCAATATTTAGTTTAAAAAAATCAAAAAAAAAAAATCTCTACTATCTTCAAGTGTGAAACAAAGATATTTAAAAAACGAAACAAATAAAAAAAAAAAACGAAAAAATTATATAAAAATGAAAAAAAAAAAAAAAAAAAAAAACTAAAACCTAGCATAAACGAAAAAATAAAAAATGAAAAAAAAAATAAATGAAAAGAAAAGAAAAACTCATTAAAATAACGTTTCAACGTTTGTCGTACATTATTATATTCTCGAATTTGTATTACTTTCAGTGTATATGTCTTGCGTGTGAACGTGTTACGAATAAGTAAATGGGTTTGATGTTTTTGCCATTGACGAAATAATTTGTGGAGAATAATCATCGTGGTTCATATCAAATCCGGATTATATATATATATATATATATATATATATATATATATATATATATATATATATATATATATATATATATATATATATATATGCATCCCGCCTAGATTTTAGCATTTTCCATTTTTTTGATAGTGGAAATTCATTTATATTCGAAAGATATTGATATAATTATATGTCAGAATATAATATTGTAAGAAAACAAATAAAAACCAAAGAAAATTCATTATTACATGGTTACAAAACTTAAACACCTACTACACCTGCTGCCATTTTCCTTATTGATTGCAATAACTAAATGAATTATTAAATGCAAATAGAAATTAATTTGGACGATCAATATAAGGTATGATTACTATATCTTTACTACAAAAGTGTTGATAGATATGCAGTCATATTATCTTTCACTACATATTCATTACTTCACTACTAGCACATACTACTTTATTACTAAGACATCGAAATGATTATCACTCCTCATTATATATATATATATATATATATATATATATATATATATATATATATATATATATATATATATATATATATAACATTAGATTAAATAAAAAAACATAATTTTAAAACATAAATAATCATTTTACTAATAATAAAAATAAATAAACATATTGCTAATTTTTAAAATTAAATAAACATATATAATTATATGTATAATTGAGGGTTTAACTTCAAATATAACTAGAAGGGTGTAAAAAGATTGAGAGACATAATGTTAGTATATATATATATATATATATATATATATATATATATATATATATATATATATATATATATATATATAACATTAGATTAAATAAAAAAACATAATTTTAAGACATAAATAATCATTTTACTAATAAGAAAAATAAATAAACATATTGCTAATTTTTAAAATTAAATAAACATATATAATTATATATATAATTGAGGGTTTAACTTCAAATATAACTAGATGGGTGTAAAAAGATTGAGAGACATAATGTTAGGGACCATAATTGTAACTTAAATTGAAAACAAAATTGAAGAATTCGTTGGACGTCCACAAATACCCCTTTTTTTTTTTCTTCTTCATCCGTTCTTCCACAAAAACCAGTTTAGCTATCGCTGAAAACTGAAGCTTCAATCTTCCCTTTTTACACCATTTAATTACATTTAAATCATATCTCCACATATTATTGTCTCATTTTCTAAAATTTGGAAGAAAAAAATGTGATTGGTTGCCACATAGGCTTTTACGCGTCAAAAACGGTGTCATACCCGATGGCCTAATCGGATTTAGGCATATCTGGGTCCAGAGATTCTCTGATCGTAAGCAATGAACATGTCTCTTTCCTCTCCGTCTCTCCGCCTCTAGAACAGCCGCCGCGTGTATATGTCTTTTCTTCTAATCCCCCCACACGTATTACCTTCCAATCTTCATTCTTTTTTCACAATCCATCTTTCCCAGCTTCTGTTTTTGTTGTAAGGATTTTGTTGGTGAACTAAGTTATGAGAGGTGGAAGAGTCGGGCGTCACGAGCGCCGGTGGGCTTCCGACACCGTCCCAGATGATATGTTGATCAGCGGAAGTTCTTCGCCGGCGTACACAGATACGTCGTCAGTGAATCCAGGGGAGGAGTTTGTTGAAGTGACTCTTGATCTTCAGGATGACGACACTATCGTTCTACGTAGTGTGGAGCCGGCGACGGTGATCCACGTGGATAATGATATTGGAGGAGGTATGGAGACTCCGGCATCGGCGACTTCGTCTCGATCTCCGACAATGCGACGAAGCTCATCCAACCGATTCCGGCAGTTTTCACAGGAATTGAAGGCTGAAGCGGTGGCGAAAGCGAGGCAGTTCTCGCAGGAACTCCGGAGGTTTCCATGGAGTTACGGGCACACGTCACGTGCATCGTCTTCCTCGGCGATGCAAAACACCGCCGTAGGAAGTGGAGGATTGGATTCGGCGTTGGCTGCTCGTGCAATACGTAGACAGCGCGCTCAGCTTGATCGAACTCGCTCCGGCGCGCATAAAGCTCTTAAAGGTCTCCGATTCATCAGTAAGAGTAAAATCAACGGTGTAGATGGTTGGAACGAAGTACAGAACAATTTCAACAAGCTTGCAAAGGATGGATTTCTCTATCGTGCAGATTTCGCACAATGCATAGGTTTTTCTCTCAACGAATTATTCTAGGGATTCTGAAATTAGGAGTCTGAAATCTTCTGAATATTCATTCTCCTCTCCGATTCATTTTTCGTTCTATTATTGATGCGATTCATCCATTTTTGCATATGAAGGAATGAGAGATTCAAAAGAATTTGCTCTTGAAGTCTACGATGCTCTTAGCAGAAGACGACGACTGAAAGTTGACAAGATCAGTCGAGATGAATTATACGAATATTGGTCTCAGATCACCGATCAGAGCTTTGATTCTCGCCTCCAGATCTTCTTCGATATGTACGACTAATTACAATCAATCGTTTGTTTTACTTCATTTTTTTTTATTTAACAAATTCTTCCTCTCTTCAACATTATAATCTGATATTTCAATAAACTACGACATAAACAAACAACGATCTCGATTCATTCATAGGGTGGACAAGAACGAAGATGGAAGAATCACCGAAGAAGAAGTTAAGGAGGTAAGCATTGTTCTTGTTAATTCATATACATCGCAGTCTCATTTTCGCTTACTTTAATCCAAATTCCTCGTTCATATCTTCCATTAAAGAATTGAAACATGTCCTTGATAGGAAATCGATTAAATGAACACTTATCTGAATCTTTTTCTGTTTTTGGGGTTGGTTTTGAAAAAAAAAATGGTGAGAAGGGTGGCGAGTGGTTGAAGGACTACAGGCATAAAGTCATTTTCTGTTACTTCTGCATGTGTCGAAGTTGATTTGAGTGGTCACCTTCTTTTTTTTACAAAATCTGATATAAAATCAACCCACCGCATTATAAAAAAAATAAAAAATCATTGTCTTTTATTTAGTAATTATATTTATAACTCTTTTCAATGTTCTCGATATATTTTTTTATTTTAATACCAGTCTAACAGTTACATTTACTTTGAGATGGAAACATATAACAAAATTTGTTTTTGGTCAGATTATATTTAATTAAAGCATTATTCTATAGGATATCATTATAATATAGTAATGATATTACAAGTCATGGAAAGTTCTATTGTTTACTTTTTTTTTTTTAATAAAATATATCTGGAAACAACTATCGTGAGTTTTTTTGAATGATTTTTGAAATAATAATATCTAAAACGTTGTTATGCAATATTAAAGTTGTGAGTTAAAAGTACTCGTTTGGGAATATATAAAGTTACGACATTTTCTTCGATTTTCTTTTGACAAATGCAATTTTTTATTTATGTAATTGCTTATAGATGATCATTATTAAACTCAAATTGATGATATCTTCAAATTTGAATTTTTTACTTGTATCTTTCTTATAATTTATATATTTTTTTGATTATGTAGTAATGTCAATTTATTTTTATGACGGGCGGTATAAATTTTATGTTTTTCCCAATTTTGGTCTACGAAAACCGTATTTACCATTACTTAGATACAACAATTCTATTAAACATTTTATTAATAAATTAAATAATTATAGGGATAATTATATGCAATCAAGTATTACATTTTCTTTTATTAACGTAACTCACAAGAAAGGAAATTACCATTACAACTTGTCCTATGACTATATATATATATATATATATATATATATATATATATATATATATATATATATATATATATATATATATATATATATATATATATTCCTTTTTCTAGAAAAGATTGTCCAAACTATTGTTACTATTTTGGAAATAATAAATAACCTTAGGGGATAGAGTTTTATCTTTTTTGTCTACCTGTTTTTCTTTTTTTTTTTTAAAAAAGGGTATCTATATGGTGGAATACTTTAATATCTTGAACTAATTTTGGTAATTTCGTCAAACTTAACATAAATATTATATATCATGCTAAAATCATTTATGTAGTGAAATACAAAACCTAATATTGATAAAATAATAATAATAATAACAATAAGGGGGGTTGGTGAGGACTTGTTCTTACAGGAAATTAATATATACTTTGATTTTAAATTGAAATTTTGAAAAAACAGATTATTATGTTAAGTGCGTCAGCAAACAAGTTATCAAGGTTACAAGAACAAGCAGAAGAGTATGCAGCTTTGATAATGGAAGAGTTGGATCCCGAAAGACTTGGCTACATTGAGGTACGTGTGGGTCCCACACTTCAATTTCGTAGCTTTCAACCCGTTTCCACTCTCCATTATATATAAAAAACTTGAGTTAATTCCTTTTCACATAATTTTGGTTTCTCATTAACAACAAACAAAAGTCTACGTAAATTAGCCACCACAATATATGTTACATATTTTATATAGGACACCCCGTTGTTACATATAATATAAAATGAGTTATAGCCTGATTGCTTGTTCTTATTTAAATGTTTAGGTTTGATTATACAATGATTATTGGCCTTTTAACCTTTTTATCCATAAAAGTTACGAAATTTTTAACTTTATTTTTTTCTCTCCATCTTGTTATACTCGAGGGCTTTTTATACGTTTACCTAATAGTTACAGATATTCATTATAATATATACTATAAAGTCGAGAGTGATCATCTTCTTTAAATTAATTTAAGTTAATATTATATTATTATTCCTGGTTCATTTGTCCTTTTTTACTTGGCTATAACCGGTGGTAGCAGCCAAGAAAATCAAGACATTTGTCTTGTACTTTGGTAACTTTTTTCTTATTGATTTGGTTTTCCAAATAAGTTAATGTTAATATATATATAATGCATTCTAGTAAAACAATCAAAACCTCAAAAACACAAGTAGAAAATTAAATATGATAAATATTTATGGACTCTAGCTGTGGTTGTGCTAATCCATGAGAAGTGGTTATGGTCTAGAAGTTTGACTTGGGAATAAATTAATAAAAGTCGAGGTGTCCTCATGTAATAAATATTGTTTGTCGTGTAAGTTCAAATATATAATAAAATAGAATTAGTTAATTATATTATTAAGAGAAACAGAGTTCATAGACAAAGGAAACTTGCTAATTATTTAAATCAAGTGGTGTAGTCTTTTAGAGTATGTTGTTTTTCAAAGTCAGTAACGAGTGGTTAGGCCGGAAAGCAAAGGTTAAATTGTTGTTCAACTGTCCCACGAAGAATTAAGGAACATTACATTACCCCCTTTGAATTTTGAAATAAACGTACTCTTTTGGTTGTTCAACTGCTGACTTCTTCATGTGTATCTAGAAGTCTTTTTAATCATATCATAATTCATAAAGATAAATAACTTAATCTTGAAGATAAGATTCAAAACTTAATTCATTTTCTTTCTCACACAACATAATGTAACTATTAACTTAACATTGGCACCCTAATAAAAAATAAAAATAAAATCCACTTATATCTTATTACTTATAGAGTTATATGATCAGCATCTGGACACATGTTAGCCAGGTTGCAATCCTCTGATACCGCATATTATTTGTCTCCATCATTGGATTTGTTGTGCAATTACGCGTATTCTCCACTATGCCATGTGTATAAAGTGGTCAACCTTATATATGCAAATCATCGATAATATCAACGAACATAAACAGACGATAATATTCCCATTCTCATTTATATTTCAACACAAAGCATCCAATGCTGTACCACAAGACTTTGACATTTAAAGTCTACGTCACATTTAAAGTCTAGCCCATTCTCATTTATATTTGTAAAACTAGTATCACTACATTTTTTTTGTACTTATTTATCTGGTAAATACTTGACCACCACTTGACGTGGCATGGCATACGGGTGCTGTTAACTTGGAATTATGACATTTTTTGTACACATTTTTTACCATTGCGTTCTATTTATACACATTATACCAATAATCTTACAAATTTATTAAAAAAAAAAAAAAAGAAAAAGAAAATGTGATGTTTGGTTTTGGACTCGTGGCCTCAAGAAAGGGAGTCGTCAACTCTATAATTAAGCCAAGACGCAAAGTTAGAAATTGAAAACGCTTATTGGTTCAGTGGTAGAGAGGTCACTGGTTCAAACCCAAGTATTGTCTTTTATTTATTTATTTTAAATAACATTGTAAAATTATTTGCATAATATTTATAAAAAAAAAAAAAAAAAAAAAAAAAAAGTTCATTGGTAAAATATGTAAAAAAAAAAAGTTACAATTTTATGCAATTTCTTAAAAAAACAATTTTTTTAGTTGAAAATATCTAGTTATCGGTTCCTGTTTGACCGTCGGTTCAACCCAATTTTCATAAATTTTAAATATTTTTTTATTTTTCTACATACAAAAAGATATATATATATATATATATATATATATATATATATATATATATATATATATATATATATATATATATATATATATATACCAAAATTTTGACTTCCACAAAAAGAAAAAAAAAAATCGTTATCATAATGAAAATAATGAAGTATATTATAAAGACATAAACATAATACTTGAGAATTATCACCCTTCAAATGGAGTAGTAGATCAGTGTTAGACTAACGTCTAGTGTGTCGAAGTCGTATTTGGTAAAGGTGTGGTCAGCATTCAACTTGTGTACATTTCAAATAACCTGATTGATCGTGTTTTTAGTTTGTTTTGTAGATGGGCTTTTATTTAACGGTCTTAATGAAATTCAAATATCCAAATCATATAAAGCAGTTTAAATGGTTTTTTACCGGATTTATTACACCGATTCAATCGGATTATTAAAGATAAGGTTTGGTTCGATCTTATCTAAAGATTAGAATAAAACCGATCATTACTGAGCCAAACTCATTTCCGATTCGAAACGGTTTTTAAAACATTGATTTTAGGTAACAACCAGATGGTATGCCATGTCAAGTGGTGATTGTGTATTTACCAGGATAATGTGTAAAAAAGTAGTGGTATTTTTGAACAAAATTAAAAGATTGATGGTATTTTGCGAATGGAATAAAAAAAATTGTTGATAAATTAAGTATAAAAATAAAATTTGCTGTTAAAATAAATGTACTTCATGGTTAGGGATAAATAGTGATTTTAAAAAGGTAAGCGAGATATAAAATTTAAGTTAAAATAGTAAAGTTAATAAAAAATCAAACTAGGATAAATAGTGACTTTAGAGCAAATCCACAAAGCGCGTTGTCTTTAGTAATTGGAAATACTGAACAACATTAAAAATCTATTTCAAACGATTCTCTTCCTCAAATTGTTCGGAATCAATGCATTGAAAAAAATTTAACCGTAAAATCGAATCAAGTTGGGCGAAATTATGATTTAAGTGATCTGATAATATGAAAAAGGCATGTTTCCATGCATAACATAATTAACCACGCTTCTAAAATCTTTAGTATGTCAACTTCTTCAAATCATTTTTCTCTCACGATGAACTGAGATTTCGTTATCTGTCCAGCTATGGCAGCTCGAAACACTCCTGTTGCAGAAGGACACTTACCTAAACTACAGTCAAGCCTTGAGCTACACAAGCCAGGCATTGAGCCAAAACCTACACGGCTTGAGAAACCGAAGCCCAATAAAGCGAATGAGTTCCAAATTCATGTACTATCTACAAGAAAACTGGAAAAGACTTTGGATCATTACCTTGTGGATATTAATCATGATCGGTTTATTTCTATGGAAATACTATCAATACAAACAAAGGGCCGCATTCGAAGTCATGGGGTACTGTGTTCTCACAGCTAAAGGAGCAGCCGAGACTCTTAAATTCAATATGGCGATCATATTGTTGCCGGTTTGCAGAAACACCATAACTTGGCTAAGATCCACGAAATTGTCTAATTTCGTACCCTTCGACGATAACATCAACTTCCACAAGGTTCAATTTCGTTATCCTTCTACTTGTATTGTGGCCCTAATTCCATTCAATTTTAGGATTATGAAATTGTACTCAAGTGTAAACGGATTTACTTGGATTTTTCAGACGATAGCTGCAGCGATTGTGATCGGGGTAATCCTTCATGCTGGTAACCATTTGGCGTGCGATTTCCCGAGACTTATAAACCAAGATGAAATTGCATACGATCTTAGTATGAGGCAATACTTTGGGAACAACAAACCGACATACACAGACCTTGTTCGAGGTGTGGAAGGTGTAACTGGTGTTATAATGGTGGTATGCATGACAATCGCTTTCGTACTTGCAACCAGGTGGTTCAGACGGAGCTTAGTGAAGCTACCAAAGCCTTTTGATCGGCTCACCGGCTTCAATGCTTTCTGGTATTCACACCACCTGTTTGTTGTCGTCTACATTTTGTTCTTAGTCCATGGATGGTTCCTTTATTTAGTCAAGAAATGGTACAAAAAAACGGTAGGTATACTGCCTATATTCTCTCTTTCACTTGTTCTCGATTCAACAATTTCAGATGATAACCTTGAAATTATATGGTTTACGACAGACGTGGATGTATCTTGCATTTCCGGTATTGCTTTACGCTGGGGAAAGAACCCTAAGATTTTTCCGATCAGGCTCTTACACTGTCCGCCTTCTAAAGGTTGCAATTTATCCAGGAAACGTTCTCACATTGCAAATGTCCAAACCTCCTCAGTTTCGTTACAAGAGTGGACAATACATGTTTGTCCAATGCCCCACTGTATCTCCATTTGAATGGTAATTAATGGTTTCCAAAACGATTAATCTGTCATTCTATTTAATACGTGAGTATATGCTAATAATCCCTCCATATCTATCATTTTTAGGCATCCCTTTTCAATCACATCTGCTCCAGATGACGATTACCTAGCCATTCACATAAGGCAGCTAGGTGATTGGACACAGGAATTAAAAAGGGTATTCTCGGAAGTCTGTGAACCTCCAGTAGCTGGTAAAAGTGGGCTTCTTAGAGCCGATGAAACTACCAAAACAATGTATAGTTTTATCATCCTACTTTATGGTATAAAGTTTAGAAACATATAGTGATATAACTAACAACTTGATATCAGATTGCCAAGATTGTTGATTGATGGGCCTTATGGAGCTCCGGCCCAAGACTACCGTAAATATGATGTTCTTTTGCTTGTTGGACTTGGGATTGGAGCAACGCCTTTTATTAGTATACTGAAAGATTTGCTCAACAACATTGTTAAAATGGAAGAACTAGCAGTATGTGATTAAGTTGTTATATATTTTTCACATTTTGTCAGTTTGATAAATGTTTTATGATCAAATCTTTGAACCTAAATTTGGTTTTAGGATTCAACATCGGGTCACAGTAGGAGATCGGATCAGAGTTCAGGTAGTGGTGACTCTTACTCTCATGATAAAGCTTCTCCCAGAAAGAAGAAAAGTTTGAGGACTACGAATGCTTACTTTTATTGGGTAACTAGAGAACAAGGTTCGTTTGATTGGTTCAAAGGTGTCATGAATGAAGTTGCTGAACTCGATCAACGGGTATAACTTATAACCATTCAATCTAATCTTTCATATCATATCGTTTTAAAGATTCAAATAAATATTTGTTGAATTGTTATATGTGCAGGGTGTGATTGAGATGCATAATTATCTAACAAGTGTCTATGAAGAAGGGGACGCTCGATCAGCTCTCATCACCATGGTTCAAGCTCTCAACCATGCCAAAAATGGTGTCGACATTGTATCGGGCACAAGGGTAATGTTGTCATTTTATCTTATCTTTCACAGTAAAGTACAAAAACGGTCCCTGTGATTTCTGATTTTTACCCCGTTTAGTCCAAAATTGAAACCTTTTTCAGTTTTGATCCTTGTTATTGGTTTTGGTCCGTGGAACCTTTAAATATGGACAAAATTTGATATGAAACGTTGAAACAATTAAGGACCAAAATTAAAAAAGAAAAAAAAAAAAACAATTTTGTACTAAACACAGTAAAGATGAGAAAGCAGGAAGATTATTTTTGTAATTTGTTAGACCCTGTTAAATTATGTTTGATAAGCTTTTGATTAAACAGGTGAGAACTCATTTCGCAAGGCCAAATTGGAAGAAAGTTTTGTCAAAAACTTGTACAAAACATGCTGGTGCTAGGATAGGTGAGTGTTTGTTTAATGGTTATGTTGTGATGATGTATTATGGTTGTGGTTATGGTGGAGTAATATTGGGTTTTGTGTGAACTATGAATCAGGTGTGTTCTATTGTGGTGCACCGGTGCTAGCCAAGGAACTGGGTGAGCTGTGTCATGAGTTCAACCAAAAAGGTTCAACCAAATTTGAATTCCATAAAGAGCACTTTTAAATTTTAAGCTGGTTAATTGTTAGAAGAGAACACCAATGTACAGTTTTTTTCATAGTAAGAATTTAAAGGAGGATCGTATCGGATGACAGTTTTGGTTCATGGTAAATGGTAAATGGTAAATGGTATTAGTAGGTATAAAAAAAGCATCCTTTGTTGGTGAGATGAATTAAACCAATAAAAAAAAAAAACAAAAAAAAGTTATTGCGCTAGTGGTTGGATCCACATGCACAGCAACCCATGTAGAGGGTTGACATTTGGAGGGGGACAAGACAACGACAGCTACAA